CTTTTCTATTTTATTCATGTAACCATTTAGAGATATAAAATTTCCCCTAAGAACTGCTTAGGCTGCATCCCATAAGTTTTGGGATGTTGTCTCATTGTTGTCATTCTCTTAGATGAAGTTGTTTCTATGATTTGTGTTTGACCCACTCATTCTTTAGGATCAGATTATTTAGTTTCCAATTAGTGTTTAGCCTATCTTTCCACAGTCCTTCATTACATGTAATTTTTAATGTACTGTGATCTGAAAAGGATATATTTAACATTTCTGCCTTTCTGAATTGGACTGTGAGATTTTTATGCCTCAGCACGCAGTCATTTTTTGGGTAGGTGCCATGCCACTGAGAAAAAGGTACATTCCTTTCTATCTCTATTCAATTTTCTCCAGAGGTCTATCATATCTAACTTTTCTAAAATTCTATTCACCTCCTTAACCTCTTTCTTGTTTATTTTGTGGGTAGATTTATGTAGTTCTGGGGGATGGGGGGGTTAAGGTCCCCCAGTAGTATAGTTTTGCTGTTTCCTTCTGTAATTCAATTAACTTCCCCTCTAAGAATCTGCATGCTATACCACTTGGTGCATATTAGTTTAGTATTGATATTACTACATTATATATGGTACCTTTTAGCAAGATGTTGCTTCCTTCCTTATCTCTTTTAATTATATCTAGTTGTGCTTTTGCTTTGGGTGAAGTCAGGATTGCTACCTCTGCTTTTGTTTTTTACTTCACCTGAAGCACAACATATTCTATTCCAGCCTTTTACCTTTACTCTGTGTGTATCTCTCTGCTTCAAATGTGTTTCTTGTAAACAACATATTATAGGATTTTAGTTTTTAATTCACTCTGCTATCTACTTCTGTTTCATAGGAGAGTTCATCCCATTCACATTCACAGTTATGATTACTAACTGTATATTTTCCTCCATCGTATTTTTCCCCATTTATACTTTTCTCTCTGGAGAAAAGGAGGCTAGTAGATGGCTTTATTTCTCAATTTTTGAGAAGATTTTTGTAGCACTGGTCTTAATTATTGTAAGTTTGACAGAATTCTCCAGTGAACTCTCACTCAGGACCAGGAGTTTTTACTTGGCAATTTCTTATAGCTAGTTCTATTTCTTTTTCTGAGATAGAATTTTTAAAGATATGTATTTGGTATGCAATTTAGTTTGAGTATTTTATATTTTTGAAGGTATTCCTCTATTTCTTCTGTGTTCTCAGTTTCGTTAACATAGAACTGTGCATAGTAGGTTCTAATAATTCTTTTTGTTCTGGTTTTGTTATTTCTCCTTGGTGGCTATTTTGCTGACTTGATTTTCTGCCACTTTTTTTAATCAAGATGGCTATAGGTTTATGAATTTGATTAGCCTTTTCAAACAGCCAGCTTTTAGTTCTATTTATTATTTCAATATTTTATTTACTTTAGTTTTATTTAGGGATGCATGGGATGTTCAAGGAGGACTAGCACCTTGGGTATGAGGGCTTACCAAGCCCTTTTAAGGGTTGCTTGTCCACCTTTGGTGTCCACTTGCTACTCAACTCTTACTTGTGATTCCAAGAAGCTATGGCATGTACAGTGGCCACACCCTCATAAAACTATCAGGCCTCAAACCCACTGGTGAGTTAGAGGGATGTCTACCCCAAGCGTCTGAAGACTTCCCTCGGCAGAATAGGTAGATGAGAAAATTTGTTTCAATAGCGATGAAGGCAGCTGAAGCAGGCACTGTGGAGTACTTCTTATTTAATTAGACATCAAAGACAACAAGGTCATCCACTGCATCATGGACCATTGCCAACTGTCTTGATTTTTGTCTTGCCACTGAATTTCCATGACTCTGGGAGAGTGAGGCTGATGACTTTGTGCAACTCTTTCTCACTTAAATTTGATTCATGTGCAAGTCAAGATATCACCTGTGATGTCATTGGTCCTCTTTGAAAATGAAGGATAAACAACAATTTAGTTTCCAGTTTATGTATTTCTCCTTCATTTCTGTATATCTGCATTTCCAATCAACTTTTCTCTCTTTTGCTTCTTTAGTAAGATTTGTCATTATAGGTTTAAATTTTTTTCTATATTTCTAATTATTTCTGCTGTGCAGGCCATAAACTCTGGTTTCATGTTTCTTATTCCTCCTTAACTATTTGAGAACATCCTTCTGTGGTTCCATGTTCTCTCAGGAATCTACAGGATCCTGTTGGTGTATCTGCCCAAGGTCCTTAACAGAGTTTTTTTCCTACTGAGATGTTTGGCAATTTCATTCTTTTCTCTTTTTTGCTCACTGTATGACTCTTGCCCCTTTGATAGTGGTTTCCCTGAAGGCTGGACCTTGAAGCTGTCCTAGCCTTTTCCCATGCTGGTGAATTCATTTTCTACCATCTTCCATCTCTGTCCCAAGTGACTGCCACAGGTCTCTCCTCAGCTGAATACAAGTCTTCTTTCTTTCAAGCCTGGTGGAATCCCATACACATTGGCACCATTCCCCAATTCCCACTATTCCTTAGTTCTCCAACTGTTGCAACACAGCCTATTGCCATGCTATAGTTCCAGGCAAAGCCCATTTACTGCTTTCTGCAGAAGAGGTTGGAAGTGGAGATAAAGTTGTGTTCTGCTGCAAACCTTTGGGTAGGCTTGTGCAATCCTGCCAGAGCATAATGGCTGGTCAGGGAAAGAGTACAGAGTAATCACATTAGCTTCTATCCCTCATCATTCAATGAATGAATGAATGAATGAATGAAGCATTTGTTAAGAGCTTACTAAGCAAAGCACCATTGCTAAGTACTGGAAATGCAAACAGAAAAGTAAGATAGTCCCTATTTCTAAAGAGCCTACATTCTAAGGGTGCAGACCATACATATGGAAAGTTCTGGCTTTTCAAGTCAGATGGCAAGGTCTCAAGGTCCTCAGGATACAGTAGAAAAGGTAATGCTTATTCTTTAATGTAATTTCCACAAATGAAATCATAGCCATTTCTGATATTGGACCAAGTACCAACAGTACCAAGGAATTTGGTGGCCAAGAACTTTCTTTTTAGTTCTTCAGTAGTGACTGTAACTTCAGTAGTGACTGCTTCCAGTAGTAATTGGAGCAACTATCAACTGACAAGTTGCACGTTCCCAATGGTTTCTTCTGAGGACAATGTCTGAGGGCACTTGGCTGAAAGCTCTTAGTCTCAGGGTCCTAGGTTGTCTCCAGGATGGTTCAAAATTAGGAAAACAACTAACATAATCATAAACAAGTATTAAAAACAAAGATTTATTGGATATTTCAAACTGGATGTCCCAGAGACATCTAAATGTCAACAAGACCAAAACAAAACTGCCTTTTCCCCCATGTACATCTCTCTTCTAAACTTCTATATTTCCATCAAAAGCACCACTGTTCTTCCTGTCATAATCTTGGCAACATTCCTCAACTCCTTGTTCTCCCTCACTCCACATAAATCATTTTCCAAATCTTGCTGTTTTTACCTCCACTACAACTCCTTAGCACCTATCCCTTCTCTTTACTCACAAAGCTATTACCTTATTTCAGGCCTTTATTACATCTCTTGCCTGGATTATTTTAGCAGCTTCCAAATTACTATTCTTACTTCACATTTGTCTCCAATTCAATCTATCCTCCACACAACTGCCAAAGTCATTTTCTTTAAGTGTAGATCTGTAGACATCACTCCCCTACTCAATAAATTGCAGTGGCTTATTACCTCAAGAATCAAATGTAAACTCCTCCATTTAGCTTTTAAAGTACTTTACAGCTTTATCATAACATATACTTCCAGTCTCCTTACTCCCCCTTCCATATTGTACAGTCCACCCAAACTGGCCATCTCTCTATTCTTTATATGTGGCACTCCATCCTTCATGTTCATGCCTTTTCACTATCTATTATATTTATAATCCATTCCCTTTTCACCTCCATCTTAAAGAATCCCTCTCTTCCTTCAAGGTACAGTTCAAGCACCATCTCTTACATCAAGCCTTTCCTGATACCCTCAACTGCTAGGGTCCTCTCTCAAACTGCCTTTTATATTCAATCATTCCCTGTATATACTTGCATATACTTCTATTATGTCCTTTGCCTCCCCCATTAAAATAAAACCTCCTTATCATTAGAGATGTTCTCATTTACTGTATTTGTATCTCTAGTTCCTAGCATTGTATCTGACACATCATAAACAATAAATGCTTGTTGACTGATGAATTGTTCACGAGTCGCCAACTGGCATGGTTACACTGACTTTAGTCAGACAGAGGGCATAATTAACTCAAGGCAAAGACAATTGAAATGGCACAGGAAAAATAAATACAGCATCTTTCCCACAAACCTGGGGTACATTTTCCTACAAAAATACAAAGAACAAATGCCTACAGAGTTCACTAGCAGAGGATACACAAAGGTAACACATATGGCCAAGGCAGCTTATACTTCCCCCTTCCATGTCATCTTCTAATTGCTTCATAATGCCCTTTTTACAGGCACCTCTGCTGGGTGAGTGCCTGGGACACTAAGAGGCTTAAGTGCATTGCTCAGGGTCACATAGCTAGTATTTTGCAGAAGTGGTAGCTTGACCTAAGTTGTTCTGACTCTGAGACTAGGCACTATATTACAATGCTTCTTAGCATAGAGGTATATCATCAAAAATGAATCATTAATAAAGGAGTTCGTCTTACCATGTAACAAAGCTAGGAATGAAAATGAACAATCAAGGTGCTACATTACCACATACAAAATGTTAAAAGACCTCAAAAAAGTCCTCTAGAGCATTAAAGAGCTCTATGGTACATTTATACTCAGACACAGGCAAAAATAGCATAGAATGTTGTACACTGTATTGTGGGGAGTCCAGATACAGGGAGATGCTAGATTCATTGAACTTTAAGAGGACAGAAGGAAAATATGAATAGAATGTGGGTAAGAAGCAAAGTATAAAATTAGCATACATCACAAATTAAAATGTCACAGTACCTGTTTTTGTTTATTACAAAACAACTTACTAAGAAACTTACCAGACAAGATAGTCTGTCAAGCAACGAACCATTAGGCATATAGACATATACCAAGCAGAAGCTGTCATTATCACTTGAGAAGCCAAGTAGTTCCACTAGGTTTTCATGTTGACACCTGTGGCAAATAATTTTTTAAAGGAATTCAGTGTTTGAAATCTTAAATAATTAAGTTCAGCTCAAAGCTGGAAAATTTTTAAGGTTAGCTATAAAACAGGGCAGCTAGGTAGTACAGTAGATAGAGCACCAGGCCTGGAGTTGGGAAGATCTGAGTTCAAATTTGACCTCAGACACTTGCTAGCTGTGTGACCCTGGGCAAGTCATTTAACCCCTATTTTCCTCAGTTTCTCTTTTGTACAATGGGGACACACTGGAGAAGGAAATGGCAATCTACTCCTTTATCTTTACCATGAAGATCCCAATGGCAAAGTCCATGGGATTATGTAGAGTTGGATACAACTAAACAACTGAATAACAACAATAAAAAAACAGACAGCTAAAGAAGAGGTTCAACTTTCTTATTTTTACTTTCTCAATACTGTTATCAGTTTCTTTCCTTTTATTTTCTTTCTCTTTTTTATTTTTTTAAGACTGGGTCCTCCTATCTGACCCATGTGGAAATGCAAAGGTGACTCATGGGCCTCTACTTAGTGACTGGCAGAGGAACTCTGACCTGTTCTGTTTATGACCTAGGTTGGTTTGCCCCTCCTCAGACAATCTGGTAGCATTCTCTCCCGCCCCCATCCAGGAGCTCATAATATTTGATCAACCCAATTGTATTAGCCAACTGCAGCTCACAACTCCGAAGCTCAAGAGTTCCACTAGCCTCAGTCTCACTGGTAGCTGGGATTAGAGAGACATGTACCATAACACCCAGTCCCTTTTCTTTTTTAATAATTTATTATGATATAAATATCAATAAAACAAATTAAACCTCACAATTATTTACATTTGAAGATTCTTCTACTTTTTTAGTAGGCAATAATTCAATAATATAAATAACACAGTTCTATTTTGCATTTTGAAGCAAAAGTTCTTCAAGATACATTAACTTGGAAATTATGACCATTTAGACAGAGACTGTGATGTTATCTTCGCTTAGCTTTCTTCTTCATAATGAATATAAGTAAGACTGTGGAATTATTTAAAACCTTTGATCACAAACATTTTCGCCAACCCCAAACAAATGAAAAGCACCAATATTAAAAATACTTATCAGAGAGAGGCAGAGCCAAGATGGTGGAGAAAAGGCAAGGACTTGCCTGAACTCTCCCCTAAATCCCTCCAAATAATTTTAAATAATGAATCAAAACAAATTTTGGAGCAGTAAAACCCACAAAAGGTTGGGGTGAAACAATTTTTCAGCACAAGACAACTTATAAGGTTGGCAGGAAAGGTCTGTTGTACCAAGGTGAAAGTGGAATGTAGTCTAACACAGGCTGCACTGCAGCAAGGCAACAGTAGGCACTGGGGACAACTGACTCATCAGTGGCAGTGGCAGTTTCTGAACCTCCCAGCTCACAGATATGAGTCAGACAGGTCAGGAGATTATAGGGGTCCCTTTGCAGGTACAGGGGTGAGGGGAGCAGGACTCTGTTACACTGCCCACACCTGGATGTGGGTCTCAGTTCTGGGTCTCAGTCCAGGGCAAGGAGGAGCACTACTAACACATCAGAGCTTGCAGCAGCAGGGGAGCTGGGAGTGCTTGTGGTCGCCCACAGACCACAGCACAAGCCAGGAGAGTAGTGAAAAAACCTCTCCCTAGTTCATACCACCTTGGAAGAATAGAAGACTTACAGGTCCCCAGAATTACCTCTGAAAATAGCTGCACTAAAAATCTGAATCTTGGGACAGTGCTCCCCCAACCCCCAAAAGCAGACCCTGACTTTAGTATACAGTTAAAAGTCAAGAAACAGGCTGGAAAAATGAGCAAACAGCAGAAAAAAATCCTGACAACAGAAAATTACTATGGTGAAAGAGAAGATCAATGCACAAACTCAGAAGAAGACACCAAAGTCCAGACTCCTACATACAAAGCCTCAAAGAAAAACAGGAATTGGTCTCAGGCCATGAAAGATCTCAAAAAGGATTTTTAAAAATCAAGTAAGAGAGGCAGAGGAAAATTTGGGAAGAAAAATGAGAATGATGCAAGAAAATCATTTTTTAAAGCGTCAACAGCTTGGTAAAGGAAGCACAAAAACAAAAATACTGAAGAAAATAACAACTAAAAAAACAGAATAAGCTAAATGGCAAAAGAGACACAAAAATCCAATGAAGAGAAGAATATCTTGAAAAGGAGAATTGGACAAATGGAAAAATATATACCAAAATTTACTGAAGATAAGAATTCCTTACAAAGCAGAACTGGCCAAATTGAAAGGAGGCACAAAAGTTCACTGAAGAAAGTAATTCCTTAAAAACTAGAATTGGGCAAGTGGAAGCTAGTGACTTTATACGACATCAAAAAACAATAAAATAAAATCAAAAGAATGAAAAAATAAAAGATTTTGAAATATCTCACTAAAAAACAACTCACCTAGAAAATAGATCAAGGAGAGATAATTTAAGAATTACTGAATACCTGAAAGCCATGATCAAAAAAAGAGCCTACACATCACCAGTCAAAAAAGTATCAAGAAAAACTGCCTTAATATTCTAGAACCACAGGGCAAAACACAAATTGAAAGAATTCACTGATCACCTCCTAAAAGAGATCCCAAAATGAAAACTGCCAGGAATATTTCAGCCAAATTCCAGAACTCCCAGGTCAAGGAGAAAATACTGCAAGGAGCCAAAAAAGAAACAATTCAAATATCATGGAGCCACAGTCAGGATAATACAAGATTTAGCAGTTTCTACACCAAAGGATCAGAGCACTTGGAATATGATATTCTGGACAGCAAAGGAACTAGCATTATAAGCAAGAATCATCTACCCAGCAAAACTGAGTATAAAACCCTTCAGGAGGAAAAATGGATATTCAATGAAATAGAAGACTTTCAAGCATTCTTGATGAAAAGACCAGAGCTGAACAGAAAATTTTACTTCAAAATACAAGACTCAAGAGAAAGACAAAAAGGTAAACATGAAAGAGAAATCATAAAGGATTCAATAAAGTTAAACTGTTTACATTTCTACATGGAAAAATGATACTTGTAACTCCTAAAATCCTTCTCATTATTAGGGCAGTTAGAAGGAGTACAAATTGATAGAAGAGATAGCTGTGAGTTGACTATGATGGGATGATTATCTAAAAAAAAAAAATTAAATTAAGGGGTGAGAAAGAGGAATACACTGGAGAAGGAGAAATGGAGAGGTAGAATGGCTTAGATTATCTGACATAAAAGAGGCATGAAAGAGCTTTTACAGTGGAGGGGCAGATGGGGGAAGCAGAAAGGGCTTGTAAAACTCACTCTCATTTGGAAATGGTTCAAAGAGGGAATAACACACATACATTCAGTTGGGTGCAGAAATTTATCTTACCCTGCAGGAAAGTAGGAGAGGAAAGGAATAAGAGAAGGGGGTGGAGGGGAATGGCAGAAGGGAAGTCAGATTGGGGGAGGTAAAAGTCAGAAGCAAAACACTTTTGAGAATGCACAGGGTGAAAGGAGAGAAGGTAGGATAAACAGGGAAAAAAGGATGGAAGGAAATACATAGTTAATCATAACTGTGAAAAAATTTTACAACCAATTTCTTTGATAAAGACCTCACTTCTCAAATACATAGAGAACTTCAAATTTATAGAAATAAGAGTCATTCTTCAATTGATAAATGGTCTAAGGATATAAATAGGAAGTTTTCAGACAAAGAAATCAAAGCTATCTATAATCACATAAAAAATGTTCTACATGATTATTGTTTAGAGAAATACAAATTAAAACAACTCTGAACTACTACCCCACACCTAACAGATTGGCTAATATGAGAGAAAAGGAAAATGACAAATGTTAAAGATGATGTGGGAAAATTGAGACACTATCGCACTGTTGGTGAAATTCTATACTGATTCAACCAATCTGTAGAGCAATTTGGAACTGTACCCAAAGGTCCAAAAAACCATGCATACCCTTTGACCAAGCAATACTATCATTAGGTCTATAACCCAAAGATTAAAAAAAAGAAAAGAAAAAGACTTACACGTACAAAAATATTTGTAGCAGTTCTTTTAGTGGTGGCAAAGATTCAGAAATTGAGGGGATGTCCATCATTTGGGGAACTGCTGAACAAGTTATTGTATATGATTATGACAGAGTACTATTGTGCTATAAGAAACAATGAGCAGGATGCTCTCAGAAAATCTGGCAAGACTTACATGAACTGATGCAAAATTAAATGAGCAGAACCTGAAAAACACTGTATACATTAGCAATACTGCATAATGACCAACTGTGAATGACTTTGCTATTCTGAGCAATACAATGATCCAAGACAGGTCTGAAGGACTTATGATGAAAAATGCTATCCATCTCCAGAAAAAGAACTGGTGGAGTCTGAATGCAGATAAAATCATACTTTTTCTTTATTTTATTTTTCTTGTTTTTTAAAATCTGTGTTTTCTTTCATAACATAACATTGAAATGTTTTGCATGACTGTACAGGTATAACCTATATCAAATTGCTCACTTTCTCGAAAAAGGGGGAAGGGATGGGAGGGAGTAAGAGAATTTAGAACTCAAAAATCTTAAAAATGATTATTAAAAATTGTTTTTACATGTAATTAAGGGGGAAATAAAATACTAAAATAAAAAATATTAATTTAAACAAATCTTTTCTACCAATTAAAAAAAGTCTTCTAAAATCTACTAGACAAAAGTTTGAATGAAAAAACTTTTTTGTTTCAAATTGAGTTAATGAAAGGTCACAGGATTTCGAGTTAGAAGAGACCTTCAAAATCATTGAATACAACCCCCTATAATTTTACAGATGAGCAAACAGGCTCAAAGAAATCAAGTGACTTGCTTAAGGTCACATTATTAGTACTTTACATAATAAAAACCAGGTCCATACAAATACCCTCCTTTTGCCACCATATAAGAAGTGTTTTTCATTATGTACGTACTTTTCAGTAACAAAACTATACTTCTTTTTATAGTATATAAATATATATAAGATGCCATA